ATGTATTTAAAAAAAAATATTATTCTTAATTAATGGAAGTTTTTTTAACACAATTAAAGAAGATTTTCTTGTCAATATACTGATTAAATTATTGTTAAATAATTATGTGCAGATTACACAGAGACATTGACAACTGTAGATATAACAATGATATAAAAAAGTTTAGGTAATATTTAAAAAAAAAAAACAGAAGTTACCTCTACACAGTCAGGCTCAGGATCTTTGCTAACAGCTAGTGTATTAATCTTATCCCAAGTTTCCATGGGTAGGATCTCTAAGTTATACTTGGAGAGGAGCAGGTCCTCATCTTCACTCACAGCCTCCTCTTCCGGGGCCGGCGGCGGCTTTAAACATGTCAGTTTAGCTATCTCACCCTGCTCATTTATTTCTGATACTTGAAAGTCAGAATATCTGCAAATAAAAGTTACACATTGCAGTTACAATAATCAACGTATCAAATATGGAGCATACTGTACACAAATGAAATAGTCATTACAATACCTTGACTTAATAATTCCATTAAATCCTTCATGTTTACTAACATACTCTGTAACACCGATATCTTCTTCAGAGAGCCGCTTCCCGGGAGTATCTCGCTTTTTCCACTGACCCTTATTGGGGGCGTAATTATTTTGGAATTTATTGCCAGTACTGGGACCGTCAAAGCTACCCCACGAACTTTTAAAACCTCTCTGATTTCCGGACCAACCTCTTGGCCCTCCTCGGCCACCTCTAAAACCTCCTCGCATATTGCGATCACGTTTATTATTCATCCACGGTCTATTTGTATTCATTTTCTCTTAAAATCAATGCCTAACCTAAAAGTACCACTGTTGGTGTACAATATCTAAGTACGTAAAAGTATTATTGGTAAATCTTAACTATAAACACATCCATCTAAAGCAAAAGGTATGTAGCACAATTCTCAATCTTAACTAAGTTGTCTAGTTTCGACCAAATTTTGTTAAAAGCCGACACGTTCAATTTAATTGCACCTATAGTTTTAGTTTACAGATTGACAAGAAATGACAAATAAATTGGCAATAGACACAAACACAATCGTTCAGAAATTTTAATATTGTGTTACAGATTGAGAAGTTAAAAAAAGTGTTTATTTTTAACGTAGATATAGTTGTAAATTCAATTTTGAGACAAATTACTAAGTAGATTATAATTGTAGAAATAAAGACATAATAAAAAATTGTCGGTAATATTGTTCAGTTTGCTATTTATAAATGAAAATCAACGAGGGTGTCATAGGTCGTTAGTACCAACCAAATAAAATCCACAATAAACTAATAAAGTAAATAATTCTAATAATCATAATCTAGACATAAAATCGTTCATTTTGTAGGTTTTCACTTATGGCAGATAAAATATATAAATATGGTATTAAGATTCCTACTCGTCATAGCCACTATTCAAGCGAAAAAAATATAATCATAATTTGACACAGTTTGATAAAATATGTCACTTTTTACAATTAGTCGGACACTACTCCGAATTGTTCTTTTTACCTAAATTCCAATCTAGTAACTTTTTAACAAAAACTATTCGCAAAATCGCGATCATAGCTGATGACATTCAACGTACTTTCATCGATTGTTGTCATAGTTTTAATATTGTAATAATCCTCAACATTCGCCACCATTCTTAAATAAAGACAAACTATCGTCGCGACGATAGTCGATACCGACGCGTCGGTGCGCCTGCCAAAACTGATATGTGCAAATATTTAGATTTTTTTTTCTTAGCTAGATGTCCTTCAAATCGGATAGCGCATCGATTACAAAAACAAATATGTGTTATTTCCCTATAGAAATCGATTAGACCAATCTTATATGTGCACTTTCTGGCCATGACAAATTGGATATGTGTTCGATTGGTTACGGTTATGTGACATAAAACCATAAAACGCTCATGTCAGAAGTTGCAGCATCACATAGACAGTTTGGCAGATTGAATATCAACAGTTTTTGTTTAAAATTTTCTAAGATAAATCTGTATGTGCACCAAAATCGAAAATAAAATTATTGGGGATGAACAGTACATGTAATCATTTTCACTTTTATCTCAGTTATTTTTATCATAATTTTTGCCATCATACTGCATTTTTAATTTATTGCTAAGTCCATCAACCTTTCAGTGCAAGTGTAAAAAATAGTTTATTGTCTCCTCCTGAAAACTTGACCAAATGCACAAAACAGTTTTGGCAGGCGCACCGACGTTATATATTATGTTGTTTGTAGTATTGTTTATTTATGTATCCGAACTCAATCGAACCGAACCGAACGAAACCGAGGAGTTGTATCCGAATGTAAATTTTCCCGCTATTGCTTCTGTCAACTGTCAAATTCTAAACTGAAATGAAATCCGAACCGAAAGAAAAATAAATTTAAAATTAAGAAATCAGCATTGCAGTGTTGCCTTGACTTTTAAAGAATCTGTTCAAATTAGTAGTACTTTTAAATAATTTTGAAACAGCTCATCTCCAACAGACCGAATAATTTGTTATTTGCGTTTCAAAATTACTATTCATTACAAATATGCCTACCTTTAGAAGTGGTAAGTATTCACTCGATAACATCATTATCATGTAGATTTTCTAGTGTAGCTGTGATATTTCACTATTAAAACTGTTACAGAAAATGGTAAAACGAGAGTTAAGGCTAAATCTCGCAGTACCCGGGCCGGCTTGAGTATGCCTGTCGGCAGAATTCATAGGATTCTAAAGAACGGTAACTATGCACCTCGCATCGGCGGAGGGGCAGCAGTTTACTTGAGTGCTGTGCTTGAATACTTAGCGGCCGAGATACTGGAGTTGGCTGCCAAAGCAGCTGATGATAACCAAAGAACTAGGTAACTAAATACTAAAACAAAACTAATATATTTAATTTATGAAAATTAAGATACCTAAAGGATTTTTGTTTAATACCAGTTAGAAAATGTAAAGTTAGATTGTTACACCTTTTTAAAACACATCTAAGTAGTTATTCTGTATTGGTTTTGCAGCAATACTGAAATATGTAGTTTTTGTTTATCTACCTTCACAAGTCTTAAAAAAAATTGAATTCTTTTTCCAGAATCTCACCTCGTCATATTTTACTGGCTGTTCGAAATGATGATGAGCTGAACAAAATGCTGGAGGGTGTAACTATATCACAGGGCGGAGTAATACCACACATAGAACAAAAACTTTTACCAAAGAAAACAAACATGAAAAGTCAACATAACACTAATAGCTCATCACAGGAGTATTAATGTTAGTTGATACAACTTTAATTTGACCAAAATCACAGTTTCTGCAAAGGAATGGGCAGAGATGGACACATGTAAAATGCAACACCTACTGTGTATCAGTTCTAACTTCCTAGTAAAGATGGAACCTATTGAATCACATTTTAAAGTCTGAAAAAAAAATACATTCCTATTATCTTCATAAAATGAAAAACAAGTGGTGTACTAGGTGTGTGGTCATCTCTGCCTACTCCTGAGAATTTTGAAAAATTATACTTGTAAATTGTTAAAAAATTATGTTTTGACTGTAATGTAAGTTTATATTAGTCCCTAGTGGATGTGGATGTGTAATTTGTAATGTACCTAAGTGCCTGAGTGATGTTTAAGAATTGGCCCTGTTCCTAAATGTTTAATGGCATGGTTAAATTTTAATAAAGGATGACTGGCTTTTTAATTATACCTGTTGTTTTATTGTGTAACCATCGCTGTACTATATACTTGTATCTGTTGCTGAGTGAATAGTCTGAATATAACAACTGGAGAAGCACAAATGTATTAGGACCGCCATGTATACCTTCATTGGAAAATAAGCATGATGCATTAAGGATGAGTGATGGTAGTTCATACAAGAATCACTAAAACCACATCAATCACAAATAGAAAATGTTCCTAGATATTAAAATTATGTGGCAACATATTGAGTGGTAGGAAATATTTTGTGCAGCTAATGAAGAAAAAATAAATGAGAAACAACTTAGACCAGTCTTGTAAATGACATGTAATTTTAAATACTGTAAACAAGAGATCTGTTATTTAATTCCATTATATTAGGTAGGTACAATGTTTATAAATTCACATACAGATTTACCATTTTATAAAATAATAAAATACAACTATTTCTTACTAAAAACGTCACTTGGTTTCGAATATCTTTACATGAATTTTATAAGCTAGGTCATTAATATCTAAATCATTTTTTGAGTCTATTACAACCAATAACCATAATATAAAGTGATTTTCACTAAGAATTTTCTTTGCATTAAATAAAATGTCATACTTATGATTGCAATTTTACACTGATTAAAAATTACTTTTGTTCACGGTATGTTTGTTGTTAATTCGAATTAATAAATTATTGACAAATATGTAAAAGTAATTATTGTGTTCGGCAGTGAAAGCCACTTTATATTACAAAGATAAAATTAATATAACAAAATAATTATACAACTACAGATAAAATATACAGTTGTCTGATCATACAATTTAATACAAATTAATATAATTTATATCAAAGGAACATTGGGTATAAGCATAACTAGGTACCTAGGGCACATACAAAAACACTACGATTATTGTACCTATCTAAAACTATGAATAATATTAAAATGAATATTTAATAATAATACCAAACTAAATGTAAATGTAGCACATCAAAAAATATACAAGAAAATCTTTTATTAATAAATGCAATTTCATTGATCTGAAGTTTCATTAACTTTAAATAAATGTCGAGTCAATTCAAAGTATCTACATACAACTGGAATAATCAAAATATATAGTTGTCATATAAACTGGATTTAGAGAATGTAACAACATCAATTATTTATTTTAACAACTGTAATACACTAACTCAACGATGCCGGCGATTACAAGTGATACTATACTATTATATTCCTCGGCATTATATATTTTATACGAAAATTCTCAACATTTACAAAAAGTATCAAGAGATAAAAGTTTACATGAGATGGACTGTACCAACTTCCCTGAGCATCGGATCTGATCCCTCAATATTAAACGACAGTTACTATCGTAACAAATAAACCAATACTTTCATATTTGCAATATCAGTCCATCTTACATGTTTGTAGACAAGTCGATTGAGATGTCGATAAGCGTTATAGAACATTGAGACTTAAGAAATTAAATAAGATCCACATTGTATACGGCGAGGGTCTTAATTGAGATCTCTACCTCTGTTCAGCTTGTAAAAAACTAAAAATATATATCATTAGTAAAATAAATTTATAATATTATAAGAGAACCAAGGGATTGCACAAGGTATTGACTTAATATGTACCTACAGACTGATTTATGTTACTGACTAAACAACCATATAAAATCTACTTTATTTGCGACTTCTTTAACTAATTTCATCTTCAAAACGCAATGTTTTCTGTGTAAAGGTAAAAAGTAAGACATGCAATAATTACGTCCTATTCTTACAATGATCACGACAGAACTGTAGGCAAAAGAGCGCATCGACCAATAACAATCTATCTAGGTGTAAAAATCAGGGCCAGCCTCACTTTATTCTTACGTGTAACATGACATAAATAACGGAGCCCGATTAACAATCTAAAGCCGGTACTTCTATGTTGACAGTCACCTGTTTGAAAACAAACAGTCGACATCATAATCCTGTTAGTAGAGTCCCGAATTATCAGTCTTAATGTGACAAAAAAGGGCCAATACATACGGTTGTCAGGCCATTAAAATAAAATGCCTCTAAAGCTAAGTTAATAAAAATGTCATGTTCAAAATTATAATTACAATAGTAGCATATAATAATAACTATCTTTAAAAACATAAATACGAATATATTTTAAAAGTTTTGCTGTCAAACTAAGATTGGCTAAAGCAGAGATCCTGACAACCCTGCCTATGCATTACATTGTGTACCTAATCTATTGAGAAACACAATGTAATGTATTGCACTTTATTTAAGATTGATAACAGTCTTCATGAGCTCTTTCGTCAATGTCGATGTGACTTATACATTAGTGTTACAGTGAAGCATCATTTGGCAGTGTTCAGTATTAACACCTACAGGCATTCAATTGAAAAATGTTTAATTAAAGTCCGAGATCATTGTCAAAGAGATATAACGAGCTGAACAATTTTCACTCATAATAATTGGTCACTTAAATATTTTTTACAATGAGCAATTAAAACGCTCATCACAATATTTAATTTAATTTAGAGGATAAAATATGTAATAACACGTTGCATTCTAGAATTGAAACGATTCAAATAACATTAGTGAGACATGTGATATAAAACTGCGCTATCTACAACAAGGCTCACTAACGCCACTTAGGACACTTCGCTTCCTCACAACAATAAATAAATTGGCCACAAGAATTTTGCCATTCAAATATCACTTCGTTTCCTTTCGTGATAGTGTCGTGTAACAAGCTCAGAGTTTAAATATGTATAGTAAATTGGCAACAATGAAAAATAGCATTTTATAAAAATTATTAATATGTATGTATTATACAATTGTTTGTCAGTTCAAATTAGGCTAGACATTGTTTTTGTTCTGAACTCTAATAGGTATTTGTTTCTCTGATTTACTTTCTAGGCTTATTGGAAAGCCTATGTCCATTTCAAATTATTTCTGTACTTACTTTAACTTTGAAGTACAGATTATTATGTTTTCAGCTTACTCACATAACTGTGAGTACGAGTGACGAGGAACTTCGTAAGCCGAAAACATAATAACTTAATATTTCTCACGAAAGTTATAATATAAACGTATCTAGTAGGTACAGAAATAATTTTTGGAACATCTTAAAAGTCAAAATTATCAGAGTCTGTAAGGGAATTAGTTGCCATATATTTGGGCCAATGCTCAATCAGTCTTTAGTGATAATAACAACAATCGGCCTAGTTTGAACAAACGCGACATGAGCGCTACCACCACTCAACCATTAGTTAAATACACAACCATAAAACTCACACATAAACATTATATTGTTTCAATAAACACTTGTATTTCTGTATAGCATTCTGTTTCTGTCATAGTATGTCATTTCTGTTTCTGTCATAGTATTTCATAAGTCATGGTTTTTGTATCCAATTTAACCCATATTGACCTACTGTACCAAATATGGTACAGTAAGTTTATAAAAATATTTTGGCCTACCCACAAATTAATATTTTATTTTTTTAATTGTAACAATTAGCTCAGAGTGTTAGGTTTACATTAACAACAATACAACAGTATTTTTATTCAAATTTCGTTGAAAATTTTATTGAAGACACCCAGCGGGGACTATAGGAAATATATACAATGACTTCGAAAAGGTAAGTTCCATATTATTTATTGTAAATAATATTATTTTTCGTTACTATTTTGCAGAGTAGGTCTAAACAAATATTATACATGTAAACAATTTTCGGTAAGGTTAGTTTAGTAAGATATATTTGGTCGTAAAGAAGGTGTACCGCATATGGTACAGTAGGTTTATGTAACATCAACATCTTCTTGTACCTACTATCTAGTATACTAATAGATAACTATAATATCTAAACCTGATTTTATTTTATTTTTATTTCAGACCACTGACACTGCACGAAATTGCAATAGTTCTTGAAGAAGATGATGATGTGAGTAATCAGGGAAGAGATATTTTCTTACTACCAGCACTATACTGACAGTGTCCCTGCCCATGAGGATCGAACTGATGAAGACTCGTGTGGAAGATAACATCGACATAAATAATTTGCCTGTTGAGACACATAGAAGAAAAAAAAGGAAAGAGGCTTCTACGATTATCGCGTCTCTGATGATGTAATAATTTGTAGGTGGAACGATAATAGCATGGTTTCAGTGTGTTACAATACAGTTGGCATAAATACTGTACACAAAACTGAATGCTATTCGCAGGAACAAAAAAATAAAATATCTATACCTTATCCCGGAATGTTTAAATATGTATCACACAAAAAAATAAATAAATTCGCTAATTGGAAAATCTTGTATATTTGTATGCATATAGTCCTACTGTACCCGATATGGTACACCCCCCCTACGTCTCCCCAGTAATTGTATATTTTTTCTAATATTTTTTTATTGTTGTTTATACCCCTCTTAATGAATAAAAGTTAATATAACTAAAATTTTACACGAAAATAATTATCGGTCTAAATGGGTTAAATAAATAAGTCTATTTTCTGTGACATTGTTACCAAGATTACAAGTGAAATAGCTCATTAATATTCACAATATCTATAGGTGATAAAATCTCATGCACACAATTTACAATAATATTTAATTTTGTAACACTAACTAATTTTATTACGTGTGATAAACAATTTGGCTGGACTGGAATATTGTGATCTATAAAACTAACAAGACAAAACCATCAAACACAAGCCATGCATACAAATCTCATACTCAAACATAAATATTAGTTAAACACCATAAAATTAAAAAAATATTGCTCCACCTAGATTGCTATTGTTACATGAATATTCCGACCATTCATTCGCTCACGTTACACTTGCACAATCGCTTTTATTGTGGCATTTGAGTACTGAGCTACTCACCAAGTATAAACATCTCGATTCAGATTGCGAGTGTCACGAGTTCGAGGAGGGTATGCAGACGTGCAAGCGATTACATCAAATATTTAAATGTCAACTGCCATACAAAAATGTTTGTAAAAGCTTATTTTATGAGCTTATTGAGCTGAGAGCACTTGTGTTATTATCACATATATTCTTATCAGTCGAATGCAGAACTAGTTTCTGCATTGGGTCTATAATTATTTTAGAATTTTCTTCGTTCGTAATTTGTTCCTTGTTCATACTGTCTTCTTCCTCTGAACCCTCCGCATCATTCGCTGATTTATTGTCAAAGTATGGGAAGAAATCGTAGTGAGACTTGCCATTGCTTATTTTCGATTTGTCTTTGATACATCGTTTTTTATCGTCGCTTTTGATTGTGGATATGTTGCGTTTTGAGAATTCGTCCCAGCCTTCAGTTGTCTTGCCATGCATAGGATTCCAGTCCTTCCGGAATGAGCTTGAAGGTTTCATTTCATTTGAAGAGAACTTTTGTTGAATGTCATTTATTTGGTTGTGATTTTCTCGCGTTGAAACTATTTGACCATAAACAGGAGTACAGTATGTAGTGTCAGGTGAACTATTACCAGTTTTATTGTCTCGGTTTGAGTGTGTCTGGTTTAATTGGCAATTGTTCATACCTGAATCAAATTCTGATTTCTGGCCAGCATTCAGCAGTATTTGCTTGGATGACTTTACAGGTTTTTTATCACCATTTGGTCCCCTATTGGGAGAGCCACCTTGTTTCATTTGAACATCATCTTCATTCATATTGTCTTCACCAATACCATCTATGTCATAAACCTGTAAGTCAAGTTTTATTGCATTTATTATCTGTAGATTTATGATCTATGATAATGCGAATGACAAAGCAAGGTCACTAGTATGCATAAAATATTGAATGTGCATTGGTTTATTTAGATTGATTCATCACTACAGCTCAACACAACAATTAAAAATACAATTACAATTTTAAATTCGAGTTATTGATAGATAAATAGATAGATATATTTATTTAGTAAAACATGAGTAATTACAATGAAGATATTTTTTTGGTTAGTACAGAGTCTACATGTTTTGCCATTTATTGCGTACTAAATCAATCACTTTAGGCAGACAATACCAAAATCTACAATCAATCAATACAAAATCAAATGTCAAAGTTTGATGAAGATAAGAAGTAAATTATCAGATAAACCTTAAACTACTATTATTTTAATGTTGATTTACAGATAAACAAACCATTTGTTAGATTGAATCCATTGTTGAGAATTTTCTATAACAGTTAACAGTGAACATTCACCAACCGATAATGATGATGAAGAGTACTTACCTTATACATAACATCTTGATTCATTCCTTTCTCCCGCTCTCTTTTATTTTGTACAGCAAGCCAGACATCTTTCAGTTCTCCGGCGAGGTCTCTATCCTTCATGATGACAGGGTTCCTTGCTAACACTAGTCCTGGGTTCATAGCCTCCACAAACTCACAGAGGAGACTCACTAATGCTTCGCGATCCTGGAAATTGATTATTATATTTCTTATGACTTGTGTTTCAAAAAGATCATTCCAATAAGTATCTTATTGATTAGTAAATATAATAACAACTCAAAAAGTGTAAACTATTTTTATGTTATTGTTAGTTTCGTTTTAAAGTTTTTTTTTGGGGTGGTATTACTAGGTTTTTGAAAAACCAATCTCATTAGTAGCATGGACTCTGGCATTGTACGCTATATATGGCAATAGGCCCACCCCTATTATTACATGGGACTCAAAACATAATAGTGAAAAGTGGGTGTTACATTGTCCAGTGGCATTAAGTGCCATAATGTGCACCTCTGGCTACCCCTCCGGAGATAAGAGGCATGATGTTATGTTGTGAGGGCTTATCAATATTGTTTACCATTTTTAAATAATGTGTTTTATTTTTTTTTAAACTACCTATAAGAAATAGGACAATTATCTTTCATTTAAATGTGAATATTAATTGTTTTAAAGTACACAAATAGTTTACTTACTGTGGGGCTGCTGGCATTTTTCCCATTAGCTTTGAGTATGTCTGGATTCACCATAACTGCAAACACTATCATCGGAGGTCTCCCTGAATTTGGACCATAGTTCTGTGGCACCTGTAACAGTTGGTTACCATGTGTAATGTAATGATTTAACAAACATTGATTGATCAATAGCAAGTTGATAAGTAATAAAATAACTCAAGAACTCCTTCTATTGGATAGGTATGGAAAATACACTTCAAAGGAATATGGTATAGTAACACTAAAATAATGGTGAATAGGTCATGGTGACCTTCCATACAGGTCTTGCTTGTACTACTACTACTCGGTCTACCTTGCTTGTGCAGAAACCAGCATTCTCAAAGGTTTCTAATTTGTTTACATTTGACCTACATAATATAAATAAGCTAACTCTAAGTAACCTTTTTGAGAGGAATAAACAATTTTAATTTGTTAATTTGTCTATCACAGCAGAAGTTATTAGATAGTATCAATCTGTTTTATGTAACATGAAATAATAATTATAATTTATCGATAAAATAAGCGATTTATGATGTTTACAGTATGTGGAGTAGACTAAAATTTTAATGGTAACTAAAACAATTGAAGCAGGGAATTTATCGACGTGCAATCAAAACAATATACGTAATTCTAATAAGTAAACAAGTAGCAATAAAAAAATATCTGTTTCGATCTTAGTCGACTTAGTGAAGTGTAAAATGTAAATGAAAATAAAAAATGTACCTGCATTCCACCATACAAAGGAATGGGATCTGAATACTGTTTTGGGTTAGCTATTTTCTGCCATCCCAACACATTAATGTATAATTTCTCCGAAGTGCCCTTTATTGTATCTTGGATACACATGTGCGGCTGTGGAGGATTTTTAAACTGACGAAAAGCTCTTGAACCTCTACCATATTGAACCGGCACAACTCTCTCAGGATGATTCTGATTTTCCATAGCAACACGTCTCTGACACTAGCACATATAGTTATTTTCGATAGAATCACAAAACATTCACAATAAAATCCAATAACCAACCACTAATGACATTTCTAAAAGGCCTGCCCGACATTCAAGTTTATTGAACTCTGGCCGTGTCCAATCGTGTTCTGTTTAGGAATAAACTGCACTTGATCACTCAATACTTGTTTTATTTGTGTATATGTTTATTTTAATTAAGCTCCTACTTATTTTAAGTTAACGCAAAGCTCGTAAGTGTAAAGAAAGAAATCAAAAGAAAGAGCTTCCGTGAAAGAGAAAGACAGCCTTTGTTTTTTTTTAATTTCCCGGGTGGGCAAAGGTTTTCTGCACAAAACCGATCGAAAAACCTTTTGAGAGTCAAAATTTACTCAAAATTAGTAATACAAATATTTGTCACTATTTTTATAATCAAGAGGCAATAGGAGATTACTTTAATAAATCTAATTATAAAAAATATATAATTTTATTACGACATCTTATATTTCACCTTTTTTTCAACTAGATGGCGCTTTAGCTTTAACTTGCTCGTTGTTATGTTTGCCCTCACCAGATGGCGCTCCGCTTATATTTTAAAATTTTGTATGTAGATTTACCAACAGTGGGTGATTTTATTTTTACACAATAATTTAAGATTGTAGATATTCATATTGTTCTCTAGTTAAGTAACTACCTGTAGCTACAGGCATGCATACAGCTAACTCAAATAAAATTTTTGGTTCGGATCCCTAAAGTAAAATTTTTATTAAGAATTTTGAATTTTGTTTCAGACTTGGGATTAGGATTATTAAAAATAAAAATACTCAGTATAGGTCTTAGCTTTAATTTGTAGTTTAAAAACATTATTGACTACATAAATAGGTACTATTGTCATCTACTCGATTGTGGTTAGGTGATTACCTATGCTTAACAAAAGCTTAGGCATACCTCCATGGACGAAATAAATAATATTTTTATTTGTATTTACACTAAACCTCTTCAAACACTGAAACACCACATCAACATTTAGAAATGAATTAGTTTCTTATTTCCTCAACAAAGTGTAATAGCTGTAAGCCCCTTTGAGTATCTGCAAAGTAAAAAAAAGTTTTTATTAAAATCCCCGTTATGATATCGGTTGGTAATAAACACAAGTCCGTCTAGTAAGTTGTTAATTATGTATTAGCTATTCCAGTCACACCTCGATTTTTCCAATAAAGTCCAATGCAAGTTTAATAAGACATTCGTTGCAACAAGTTACGGCATCGCATCGTTTTCGCCATTGTCACGCCCACTTGATGTTAGGCTCTGTATACATTTGCTGACATAATGGATAGAAACCATAAGGATTTATTTATTAGTAACTCTGAATCTTACTAGGTTTTATTTCTTATCCTACTTAACACAAATCCGAAAAGTCTGTAAGGATTATATGTACCTATCTATCTATTGAAGTTTGTTAGGTACTGTTACAAGTAAAAATTACTGAATGTCTCCACGCGAGTATAAAGATGGATTAATTATTGCTATAAAAACAACCACTTGTACTAAAGTAGCTACAAATTTCTTTTGCGTTTTTCATATTGTGTTATTGTGTACAAGCCCTATGAGAACTTACATTAATGAAGGTCGGCAGAGTAAGGTTGGCGAATGGCCCAGCAGTAAAAATGTTCTTGATGCGAAGCTGCCCCGAAAGAAGTAACACGTCTTTTTTTTGCCGATAGTTAGCTGTGTACCAGTTGCTTTCAAATGGACCTGATGTCATATTTTCATTCTAAAAAAGAAAAAGGATAATAATTCAATGCGATCCTTTGCATTTGTTTCCATCAATCAAACCTTCTGTTGCTTATAGAAAAGTGTTTAAGTGGTACCTATAACAATAAAAATCATAGGAAGTTCTTAACTAGGTATGAGTGTGGGTAGGGTACCTACAGTTGTGAAACTCACTTTAATCAAAACGTCGTTGCTGTGCCAACAGAAGACGAAAAGTTGTGCGATTCCAAAGATTAAATACTCTGCCATCAAAAGCTTCTGCGCGGCATTCTGTGCGGACTGGAAATAAAAAAAAAGAAGGAAACAATCTCACAATATTAACCAAAGTTTTCTATAACTTTCGGCATTTTCTGAGGCACTTACAGTCAGTTGGTAGGCGCTCGCACAAAGCATGAGCGAACACATGACCATGTAGAAGAACATGACTGGCGACAGCAGTGAATTAAATAATCTCGAGTACCTGAAATAACAGATCATTATCACAAAAATTACTAACATTGGGAGCTCACAATTATTGTTTTCGTTGTTAGTTAATTTAATGGAGCGTACATCGAGTTTTATGCTTATAGTGGTTGCACGTACGAGATACAATCTATCGATAAATTTTTTGGACTATATAAACTGGGTGAATATACTTTTTATTTATTGAGTACCTAGTATGTTATTCAGGGTTTTTTTTTTACGTTTATTGTACATACTTTGTAAATGCAATATTTAGTTCATTGAGGAGAAATTCGCGTGGAGGTCTGATATTATTTTAGCTTCTCAGACCTTTTCGATAAGCTGGGTAGGAATCAAGATTTGATTCATACGACATTTTAAAAGGAGAAATGATTTACTTTGATCCCTAATATTTGCTCTATGTTTTCCTACACGTATTGACTTCTTACAAAAAATTGATCAATTGAAATCGCAACTTAGTCTTAGTTTAATAAAATTATTTATTTATTTAGGTACATTTATTTTTTACTCTTTATTGTACACCATAATAATATACAAAGAAAAATAAACATAAAAAAATAATGTGTACAAAGGGTGGTCTTATCACAGAATGCAATTTCTTACAGACAACCTTTGGATGGAGCCAGTAATCAGGAGTTGGAAAAATTCATACGAGATTCGTAACTTTGTGATTAAAACTATTAATGCACAAATATAATAAATAATTTTACTGGATAACCTGCTAATACAAGCTACTCAATTTATCATAGAACGACTTCCTATTCTGTTCGTCACATGTTGGTTTGAATTATTTGTTTGATTCATAATCTAGACTTTAAATCAGCTATGTAATTACATCGTGAGATATTAATGTCTCAGTGAACACCACTCTCAAAAATGCCGAAGACAGAGATTTGTAAAGACAACAACACCTTCAGAAGAGACGAAAAGACTGTCGATACCTACGACAATTGGTACCTATGCCAAAAGTCCTATATGGAACTAAATTGAAAAAAAATACCTAAGTAATTGTTAACTTTGATCTTCTCAATTTGTTTAACACCTTGAACGCTATGGGGGACAAGGTATGGGCCACGATAGCGGAGGATTTACCCTCAACAGTTTTCTGTCGGCAGTCAAAGGCTTAATGGAAATAATTTATAAACAATTACAAGCTTTTTACATGGTTGTAGGTACTTTCCTAGTATTATATACACCTAGATACGTAATAGGTACCTAATAGAACATCATAGTTGAGGATGGCGAATAGAGATACCTCTTTATTGTATAAATTGTATAGAATTTACTGTATAAATTGAAGAGGTGGGAAGATGGAATGAATTTACTTCTATAGGGTATTATTCAAGTGGTATAAGCTTTCTTTTTTTAAACAAACGTTGCCCCACATTAGGATTTTCTCCTGTGTCGTGGGTGCGTTTACAAACAAACAAGTTGACATACACAATGAATGACACCCAGACCCGAAACAACAGTTTGTGGATCACACAAAGTATTGTTCCGTGCGGGAATCGAACCCGCTACACGTTGCATGGCAGCCGGTTGCCCAGCCACCGCAACGACCGTGCAGTCCTGTAAGCTGTAAGATATAGTTAGCAGAAGTTCACTTTTTAAGTGTGAGCGAGCAATGCTGGGCACGAATAGGCCAGCTCGACCGGAGTGATACCACTGATTTACAGTTGTGTTTCGTCGTGTGAGTGAGGTTACCGGAGGCCCAATTACTATTGCAATATAGCGAGATTGAGTTAAATCTGCTTAAGACTCTGAGCAAGGAACTTTACCTAATTTTATTAGTATGTACCATAGATACCTACTTACTGTTTAATGTTAATAAAGAGGTTAAACACAATGCAAAAAGCTAACATTGGTCTAATGTAAAATTAGTCTTTTATTTTCGTTTGTTTCTTCTGTTTGTTGGCTACATTTGGATTATGTTAAAGTTAATCAGTTATCAGACATATCAAAAACAATAGGTATTGTAAGTTAAATCAAGATAGTGAAGAGATTGTAAGTTGGGAAGGAGAGGTTTGAATATCGGACATTGGGCGATCAGCTAGAAATTATCACTTGACCAATATTGTCCACTAATACAAACGTTTGAGAATTTGACTTTGGATCGATACATTTATCTGTGAATTCCCGCAACTTCTTTGTAAAGATTCACTACACTTGATCGTAATAATTTTTTTGATATTATGGTATTACGTGGGTTTGAAGGAACGACAGACATATTATTATGTGCATATACACAAAGTCAATACTCACTTTATTAGCATCACATGGATGCCATGCAGTTGCCGCACTACTTCTTCACATTGCTTGTCTGTAATTACAGTACCGTAAGAGCCAAACATGTGTTTGCACCTCTCACGAAGTAGATCCAGTTTTCCTCCAAAGAATACCATCGTTACCACAATACAAGTGTCGTAGGCCGCCATAATTGCAGCACCATAAGCACAAAGTACTGTATGCCACAGGACTGTGATCCAACAACCTGGAGAGTGGTATTTATCAAAGGGCATCCACGAACTAAAGATGTGCGGAAATGGCTCAGTACCGTTACGCATGTTCTCTCTAAAAGTGGATGACGACAGATATCGCATTAATGGTGAACATGTAGTTGTCAAGAAGGTTGTGCTGACCAAAGCCCAGTAAAAGTATGTGAGCCGACGGCAGTATTTAGTGTAAGCTTCAACTATCTGACTCTTGACCGGATCTTCATTTTGCCTTTCAAAATTATCAGCTTCTGTAATATAGTCCAGAACTTCGCGCCAATGCTTTTGCCACAAAACGAAGGTGTTCACCTTTACAATGCACACCACGCTTAACATGGAAATCTTCATGTTAGTCAATACGAGATCCAAATCTGATCTGATTACGTACAATTCCATGTACTGAGTAACGACAAAAAAGGTGACCGTCTCGTGCAAGAAAATGTACAAAATTTTGCCTAATATGCTTTTAGGTAAAAGTAATCCCATTTTCTTCAGAATCCAGTAGTTCGGACCTAGGAAAGGTCGCGCTGGATCTTCTAAGCTCTGAAGAAACGAATTCATTTTGTCACACCAAAAGATTTTATCGAAGTGACGGAGAATTTGTTGGGCTCGGATTTATATACGACTACGAGGCTGTAGGTAGCGTTCAACCCCACGATACCGCGGTAGGGAAAAATACTACTTTGTTTTATTTGATTGCATATTGGAACTGATTTTTTTAGGGGATTTTACGTTCCCTCAGAATTTTTCAAACTGTAGTGTCTTTTACATTTAACCCCATTTTAATCTACAGCTTACTAATGTCAGTAATAAACTCTCGTCATTAAAAAAACTGGCTATGGTGGGGGAGGCCTAAGTTCTGCAGTGGATATCTGTGTTATGATTGAAATGATGATAATGAAGATTCTATAAGCTCAACTAGGTAGGTACTTACTTATCCATCCAACATTTGGTCAGCAGCTGGTGTGGCTACAGGTCTAATTTTATTACTGCTGTTACTGTTACAACATCATCTTAGATAGGTTGCTAACATCAGTCCTAACAAGTATATTTTGGTTAAGTACTTGTTGTGTGGCAACTTATCTTTTGCACTTCGATGATCATCGTCAGTGAGGTTTTTTGTGTAAAACTTTAATGGGATCAGAAGTAGCTATATCTACCAGTATGTGAGTCAAGATCTCATCTTAATAATTTAAAGAAATCCTTATCATTCCCTTATTCAGATTTTTCATCCCTTAGTATGAAGATACCTATAACATTTCCCAACGAATAAGCAAAGATAACACAACTGATTATTTCATTAAAGATTGTAGATAAACGACTATTTGTATCATTTTAGAGTCTACCCCATAGCACTTTATATTACCTACCTATTCTATAATTTAGCTGAAAATCATTGCCTGTGTAAACATTAACTTACCACCACCTGCTTATTGTAAATTTATTACATGCCGAGTTAACGGTCTCTCCAGAAATTCATCAATAAAGGAGAAAAATAACATAATATGGGGCCAGAAACTCATCAACATCTTTTCTGTACCGCTTTCACCTCATTAACCCTGTTGGGATAGTGGCCAACACAGGTGAGAACATCTTTTAGAATCCCCTTTCTTGTTTTTGGTAAGAATTATAAAAATGAAAAGTCTATGTTAGTGAATAACCCTTGCTAAAATGTGGAACAACATCCACATTAATCAGAGTGTCCTATAAAATCCGAAAAATATCAGCTTATTAATTAAGTAGACCAATTAACTACATTTTTGGCAGTTTACCAAGGTTATAAAAACAAAAAAGTTATCTATCGACACTTTGGCTAATAGTGTCCATCACTAGTGCAGCAATAGCAGCCACACAGTCATATAATATTATACTCGAAACTGATAATTTAAATGTCTCTATTATACCCACTAAATGTGGGCGTGACAGCGACACTCCGGACGCTCCCCATTCTAAAAGAATAATGAAGCGAATGAAGCTATCACATATCAATGCGAACCCTATCATTACGTTCTGAATAAGTTATTAGAAAAATACGACACGCCAATCATTTGAAAAAAAAGGACACGATAGTTATTATAAAAAAATTGATTTAAAATAATGTAAGTAACAGAATTCTTGGTAGACGTCTGTTTCAAGGTTTAAATAAAATATTTATGTACTAAATAAAAAAACTTAAGATGCAAAAAACATTTTTCCCCTTTCCCTATTTGTTTAAAAAACTTAGATACGTTTTTTTACTTGTATATAGAGGAACAAAATCATACATAATTGATCTTTTACTCACTAGTTCAATCCTATAGCCCACTGATATGATAAATATCCGACTTTGTGTAAAGAGTTTGTCTAGAGAGTCTAAAGTTTTCCTAAAGAGGGTTATAGACGTGGTACTGACAATTGAGAATTTACCGCAATTAATTATTTCATATAATAACTATCGTGAGACATACTAAATTAAGTAAAAACGCGGGTTACTCACGTGCTTTTCTCAGTATATTCACGTGAGTAACCCGCGTTTTTACTTAATTTAATTATTTCATAAATAATTATTGAAGTGAAATGAATTGCTGAATGAGATATTCAACAATTTTATTACTATATTTGATTCACAAATAAAAAAAAAATAAAATGATCAAACACTTTCTCATATCAATTTACTCACTTCACCTCCTAGGTTCACCAATATTCGATGAATGTTTTCCTAAATTCATCGAGGACAAGATACAAAATTTCAATCACATTTCGGATAGATTACACAAAATCAACACACATTCGGCTTTCACCCTAATTCGGTACTGTTGTTTTGGACCAAAATTTACTTATATTCTCCGCGCTTCACATCTATGGAAACATTCACACATTTTAGAAAACGTAGACAAAATTATCAGACACACATTGTCATCCATACTTAATGTGGCTTTGGATGACCGAGCTTGGCAACAAGCTACTCTTCCTATTCGCATGGGAGGGCTCGGCGTCCGCAAAATTTCAAGTATTAGTTTACCAGCTTTTCTGTCTTCGGTCCACAGTACCTCTGAATTGGTCAGGAAAATTCTTTCTTCGTCACTGACCAGTTTTGAGGTGCCGTGTTTGACTGATGCAGTGGAAGCGTGGAAAATGGCTTGCCCACTTACGGATTTACCTGTTCATCCATCTTCTCAGAGACAGTGGGACGTGCCGCTGTGCAGTGTTATTCGTGAGTCTTTAATCAACTCGTCTCCTAATACTGCAGAGCGAGCTCGCTTATTGGCTGTGGGAGAATGGGAATCAGGATTGTGGCTTCAGGCACTCCCGTCACCCTTCATAGGTACTATGTTGGATGACATAACGTTCCGCCTAGCTGTATGCCTACGTTTAGGTGCTCCTTGTGTTTCTCCGCATTATTGTCACTGTGGAGAAAGAGTCGATGGCTTGGGACACCATGGTCTTTCTTGTTGCAGAAGTGCAGGCCGCATAGCTCGCCATGCCAGCATCAACGACATCATTCGTCGTGCTCTTGCCTCAGCCGGTGTACCAGCCGTATTAGAACCTAATGGTTTGGTACGTGATGACGGCAAAAGACCAGATGGTATGTCGTTGCTGCCTTGGAAGATGGGTAGGCCTTTGGTGTGGGACGCGACTTGTGTAGACACCCTTGCGCCATCACATCTTTTAAGCACCGCTGCATGCGTTGGTGCGGCTGCTTCCGCGGCAGAGGCCCTCAAACGGCGTAAATATTCAAATCTAGTGGGTAACTACTGTTTTGAGCCGTTTGGGGTCGAAACACTTGGGCCATGGGGTCCCAGTGCACACTCTGTGTTTAAAGACATCGCCCGTAGGCTAATCGACTCTACACGTGACCAGAGGGCTGGCTTTTTCTTCGGACAGAAAATAAGCATTGCCATTCAACGTGGCAATGCTGCCAGTCTTCTGGGAACTTTCCCCTGTGATAGTGATGCGGACGAATACTTTGACGCCTAAATTAAGGGTATAATTTTTGTTGTTTTCTTTTACTTTCTTTTT